CACAGTGAGCCGGATGACATAGCTTTAAACAAATGTAAGTGAAAAGCTAAGGGAAAAGAACTTCATGCTTTCCGCTACATAAAGCCTAAGTTCTTTACCTTTGTCTTCAGGTCTCTCCCCATTCTGGTCTCTATTATTCTATTAAATGTTCTCCTGCTACACTTTGACAGACACTACCAATCAGTATTCCCAGAGATTCTGTATTCCCAGAGATTCCCAGTATTCCCTTCTGTTTTCTGCCTTCATTTTATTCCCTTAACCAGCATCTTTCTCCCATTTCCATCATACCTGTAGTGGATTGAATAGTGACCCGCGCCAAAAATTCAGGTCCACTTGGAGCATCAGAATGGGATCTTATTTCGAAATAGGGTCTTTGCAGACGAAATTAAGTTAAGGATCTCAAGATGAGATCTACCTAGATTTAAGGTAGATCTTAAATCTAATGGCTTTGTCCTTATAAAAGGAGAGGAGACACAGAGGGATAGGCCATGTCAAGACAGAGGCAGAGAGTAGAGTTATGCTGCCACAAGCCAAGCAATGCCCCGAGCTGCCAGAAGCTGCAAGAGGTAGGGAAGGATTCTCTCCTAGTGCCTCCAGAGGGGGCACGGCTACTGACAGGGCGATTTCTGAATTCTGGCCTCTAAAACTGTGAGAGAATAAGGTTCTGTTGTTCTAAGCTGCCAAGGTTGTGGGGATTTGTTACCATAGCCCTAGAAAACTAATACACCTTAACCTCTTACCTTTTACTATTTAACTTGAGTCCTTTTTGGAAGTGAAGACTTAAATAAACAAGATTGATACTCCATGAAGAAACTCCTGTCAAGAATAGATGTCTCCCTCCTCTGAACACACAGAAATCCCTACAGGCAGGGCCCACGTCTTACAGATCTTCATGTCACTGGACAAAGTGTATATGAGGTGCTTAATGTTTGGTGACATACAGTCTTATATCATGGTTTGGAGTCATATGTCTTTCAAAAATGTAAAATCTCCTTGGATGACAGATCAGGTCATCATTTTGCATTGTCATAGCACCTAGCAAAGTGTTCCAGCACTGTTAGCACCAAAATATTTAAGTTAATTTGTTAAGGGAATAGCCACTAGTCAGATTAATATCTTGACTGACAAGATCTAATGTACTAAACTGAAAACATTTCTTCCAACAAAAAAAGACCAACGAAAAGTACTGGTGCTTTTGTGCCTCCCATCTTGACTTACAGGCTTTCCTCACAGTCCTCACTACTACGGGAAAGGGTAACACAACCATTATTCCAAGTCACCCTTGAACCCAATAAAGAAACTATGATCACTATGGTCAAACTCATTTGCCCTGGCAACAACACCATCAATTAGTTACATTTTGGCAGTGATAGCCCTCATAAAATACATTAGTGTCTTTGCTCATTACTCAAGATAGAAAATTAGGGAAAGATCACGTGATATTTTATTTCATTAGTGAGAACAATTAAGGCTAGGGAAAAATATTTGCAGAAGATGCATCTGATAAAGGATTATTATCCGAAATACACAAAGAACTCTTAAAACTCAACAATAACAAACAACCTGATTAAAAAAGGGGCCAAAGATCTTAGACACCTCATGAAGAAAATATACAGAGGCCAAATAAGCACAGGAAAAGATGCTCTATATCACATGTCATCAGGGAAATGCAAATTAAGACGAATTACGCTACCACGTCTTAAAATGGCCAGACTCTGAGATGCTGACAGCACCAAATGCTGGCAGGAATGCAGAGCAATAAGAACTCATTCACTGCTGGTGGAAATGCAAAATGGTAAAACCACTTTGGAAGACAGTTTGAACATATTTTACAAAACTAAACATACTTTTACTGTACAATCCAGCAACAGTACTCCTTGGTATTTACCCAAAGAAGCTGAAAACTATATCCACACAAAAACCTGCCTGTGGATGTCTATAGCAGGTTTATTCATAATGGCGAAAAGCTGGAAGCAAACAAGATGTCCTTTGGTGGGTGAATGGATCAATAAACTGTGGTCCATCTAGACAATGGAATATTATTCAGCACTAAAAAGAAATGAGCTATCAAGCCATGAAAAGACATGGAGGAACCTTAAACATATATTACTAGGTAAAACAAGCTAATTTGAAAAGGCTGCATACTGTATGATTCCAACTATATGACATTCTGGAAAAGACAAAACTATGGAAACAGTGAAAAGATCAGTAGTTGCCAGGGGTTGGGGGGGAGGGATGAATGGGCAGAGCGCAGAGGATCTTTAGTTGTAATGAAGCTACCCTGTCTGATACTATAACAGTGGATACTTGTTGTGATGGTTAATTTTATGCGTCAACCTGACTGGGCTAAGGGATGCTCAGAGAGCAAGTAAAACATCATTCTGGCTGTATTAGCACTTGAATCAGTAGACTGAGTAAAGGTCTGCCCTCACCAGTGTGGGCGGGCATCATTCATGCTGTTGAGGGCTCTGTAGGGGGCTCCAAGAGAACAAAAATGCAGAAGCAGCACCGACTCTCCCTTTCTCCTTTTGAGCTGGGATGTCCATCTTCTCCCATCCTTGGACATCAGAACTCCTGGTTTTCAAGCTGGGACTTACTTCACTGCCCCCCACCCTCACCCCACCACCAGTTCTCAGGCCTTTGGCCTTAGGCTGCTCATCAGCTCCCCTGGTTTTCAGGTCGTCAGACTCAGTCTGAATTATCCCACTGGTTTTCCCAGGTCTCTAGCTTGCAGACCCATACAGTGGCACAGACAGCATACAGTGGCATATCTCAGGCTTTGTCATCCTATAAAAATCTCCAATTCCCACAGTAAATCTCCTCGAATATATCTATATATTCTATTGGTTCTGTTTCTCTGGAGAACCCTAATACACATTATAAATTTGCCAAAACCCATAGAATACACAACATCAAGAGTGAACCCTAACATAAACTAGGGACTCTGGGCAATAATGATGTGTCAGCATATGTTCATCAGTTGTGACAAATGTGCCACTCTGGTGGAGGATGTTGATCACTGGGGAGGCTGTGCATGTGTAGGGCAGGGAGTACATGGGAAATTGTTATACCTTCTGCTCAATTTTGCTGTGAACCTAAAACTGCTCTAAAAAATAAAGTCTACCTAAAAAAAGAAAAACAGTTACTTAGGCACCATGAGGTTTAAAAACTGAATGGCCTTGCAAACATCTCATATGTATGATCTAATAATGCCCAGTGACCCCACTCCACCCTCACAATGTCCTGGAACAGCCAGTCACTGGCCAACTAGCAATGGACGCGGTCTCCCCACTACATCCTCCCCCACCATGTCCTCGCAAGTACGGTAACCTTGGTGTAGTGTTTCTTCCATTGTCTGGATCAATTTCATTTGTCTTTCACTATTCACATCTAAGCTAATTCCACATCAGGCAGTATTTCTCACATTCAAACATATCATCTCTTAATACCTGCCTGTCTTTTCTTTTATTGTTTTATTAAGTAAAATATCTGTTAATTTCTTCTATAAATAGAAGTGCTTACTAGGGTGCTGGGCTTCTGTACCTCCAATTTTAGGGGCCCAAAGTGGTTTGCATACTAGGTGTTAGTCACAAAGAAAAACTGGTGTACCTAGATTAAAAAACAACAACAAAGGGTTTTAGGGCTAATCTATAAAGAATCAACACTTGCAACCTTTAGAGCTATAATTGTCGAGGCGTCTTTTTAAATTCTACAGCCAGGAATGCTAAGGAAACCTACTTTTCCTCAATCACTACTGGATGTAAAACAGCATTTCTTTTTCATGTCATTATTTGCCTTTTTGTGTCCTAGCCTTACAATATTGGTTTGTATGACTTCTCACTGGGCAATGTCTCATTTTAATTCTATAGTATTTCAGCTTCACTCTAGGTTAAACTGACTCGTGCACACTAATCTAGGCTGTAATTGTAAACTTCCATATCCGCAGCATTCAAACTGACTTAGAATAATTCTATGTCCGTTTCTCTAGCTTTTAACACAAAGGTTCAAGAAAATAGTCTGCCTTGGTTTTCAAAACACCTGAAAACATTTTACTTAAGGTCGAAGGTAGTTTAGTTAAATGAACATAGCATATGCAGAAGCAGAATTCACACTCATAACCAGCGCTGGGTCCCTGATTAGTCGGTTTCGTTTTGTTCGACTTTTGTAGGAGAAACTTCAAAACAGTGACATTTTTCTATTCTTTAATATAAATAGCACATTGTGTCTTGTTTTCCAAGAGAGGAAGGCAATTTTTTAATTTCATAAGTTTGTATTTAGCTACAAGAGACTGTGTATCACATCCAAGGCTCTTGCGTAGCTCACCTCTAGACTGACGTGAAATAGTTGTAGTGTACAGTACAGCATTGAAACACTTTCTAAATAACTGAAGTTTTAAGTCAATTAAAGGCAAATGCAAGTAAACAGCATGATGATGACTCTAAAGTCAACATGAGAAATCAAAAGTTTCTAGACTGAGCCTAAGAAAGCTTGATCCTAGGCAACGACAAGGAATGTGAGAGATGGAAAAGTCCAGAGAGACTCCAAAGCACTGGGGTTAAATTTTCAGAAGTCAGCAAAATGAGCTGAATTCAGAACCGACGTGCAAGTATATCCTGAAAAATGCTTATCGGATAAGCGTACCATCAGAGGTTGACGGCTTAAAACTTCATCAACTTGGGAGGAGAAAGAGACCTTCCCGCGTTTGGAAAACATCGCCTCTTTGGGGCTTAGTTCTTTCTTCTGCGTCGCAGAGCAGAAGCCGAGTGTGACGTTGGTCCAGGGAATGCTCCGGAGGCGGGCAGCCAGGCGGGAGCGGGAGGCCCCTGAGGGTGGCTCGGGTTCTCCCCAGTTGGGGAGGTGGCGGCGGTGGCTTCGGGACGCGGTCGCCTGCTGGGGCGGAGGAGGAGCCTGGCTAGGGCGGAGAGGAAGCGCCGAGATGGAGGGCGGGGGTGGAGGAGAGGGAGGAGGCCCAGCCGGGACGTCTCGCTGGGACCACTCACCTGCGGGGCGCTCGGGCTGGATGGGCCGCCACCTCAGGGCCCGCTCGCTCAGCACCACGTCGCAGCTGTCCCTCCCGATCTCGAAGATGCCCCGGAGCAGAATCTGCTCGGCCGCAGCCTCTGGCTGCAGCCGGGACGCCCACAACACCGAGGGCACAGCAGCCGCCACCGGGGGCGCCTCTTCCTCCGGGCCGCCCTCCAGGGCGCTCACCCTGCCGCCACGCCTCCCCCAGGGCATGGCGGAACCGCAAGCGGGGCCCGAGCCAGGGGTCGGGGCAGGCTTTTGGAGGAGGCGGCGGAGGCCGCGGCAGCCACGGCTCTAGCTGCGTCCGGCGCTGCCACAGCAACCGCTCGCAGGGCAGAGACCCAGGAGGGAGGCGGGGCGGGCAGGCGGGGCCGCCCTGACCTAGTCCTGCCCCGGGCCCGTCAGCCTCCGGTCTCCAACGCTCACGACAGAAAAGACCCCGTCCAGGAAAAGGATGAAGTGGCTCCCTCCGCCTGGTCCTTACGGTTCAATGGGATTTAGCGTATTGCGTTCCCCACAGTTGTATAAACCAGTACTTCTCAAACTTTGACTTGCATACTCATCCCCTGGGCATCTTGGTAAAATGCACATTCTTATTGAATAGGTCTGGGATGAGGACCAAAATACTGTATTTCTAAGAAGCTCCCAGGTCATTCCGACGCCAATGCCGGTGGTCCGCGGAACGCACTTGGAAATGCAAGCCGCTGTGTTTCCATCTCCTTTCCAGGGGGCTCTAGTGGAGAGCAGGGGGCTGCTTCATAACCCTGCTCGCATGCCCTCCAGAGTTAACTGAGCTTTGTGCAGCTGGTATGAAAAGCCCCGAGAGGAAGCCAAAGATAAGTGCCCAGTTTACATAGACGAAGCCCCGTCTGACAAATTTAGTGTTAAAGGAAGGCCCCTCTGGGCTTAAGTATTGAGGGTCCTATTTTCCCCCGAGGTATCGCCTCTGCAGTCCTGTCTTTACCTGGATCTGGCGCTCCCTGGAGAGAGATTATAAACCCTGCGGCTTGTTCTCCTGAAGGCTGCTGCTGTGACGTAGTGTTACCTGGAAATGAACAGAGCCCTGGGGCTTCATCCTTCACTTTCTCCTGATAGCTGAGATTCCTGAAATTAGCTGATTGTTAATTTGGAAAGCACAGTCTGGCGGTCAGTGGTTCTCAGTCGCCACTGCACGTTAGTTGCCTGGGGAGTTTTTTAATATCCAGGTGCCCAGGCTACAGAGCAGCGATTCTCAGCCCTGGCCAGAGATTGGAACCACCTGGGGAGCTTTACAAAACTCCTGAAGTCTGGGTCCTATCCCCAGAGATTCCAATTTAATTGTCTTTGAGTGTAACCTGGGGATCTGGATTTTAAAATACTCCCCAGGTAACTCTAATGTGCAGCCACGATTGAGAACCGCTGGCCTCCAGACTCTGAGCTTTCCAAATTAACAGGGAATGCCCACTTGTGATGGCGAGACAGTCAGGTGGGACGTGAGTTCTCGGGAAGAGAAGCAGAGTGGGAGGCAAATCGGCAGACTTTGTAAGGTCAAAATAATTGTCCTGAGAAAAAGTTGGAGGTGAGGAAGGTAAAGAGGAAATTAAACGGGCAAAGCTGTGAATCTAGTGCCAGTGTGCTAGTGTCTAACCAACGACTTCAGATAGGCAGCCGCTCTCATTCTGTCCTCTCCTGGTTGGTTGACACTGCCAAGTCAGACAGAAGAGCTAATGGTAGCAAGAGGGTCTCAAAGTTATCTGCTCAAACTTGGATTTCAAAAAACCAAGGAGGGAGACTTTAGACCCAGCCAAAACCCTTTCGGACATAAAGCGCCTGTGTGCCAGTTAAGCTAGGACTCATACGGTTTCATGCTCTGAAAACAAGTACCCAAGCTTCCAGGCAAAGCGGGGAAGAGCCGCAGTTTGATCTGATTGCAGCGAGCTGTTTTTTGGAGCAGAAGTGCAGCTGCCGCTAAACCCCACGCAGGCTTCAGGTGGCTCGGCTCAGCAGGGGTTAGTGGGAAGGCTGGTGCCGACCGCAGAATGAGTTGCAATTCTGGAGTCAGCATCTTGTATTCACAGCTGTCAGGCAATCAGCACAATTAGAGCTTATTGGCATTTTCAAAGCTCACTGAGAGCCTGAGAGCCTGGGCAAAGAGGCCAAGGCAGTGACCATTTCTTAGGACCTTTGCGAGGGGCAAGTTGCCATTTTTCAAACTTCGGTCAGGCCAGTCAAAAACATTGGCTTTGTGTTTCTTGAGGATAAAAAGTAATGGCTGTGCTCCACTCTTTCCCTTTGATGACCTGCTCTCTTCAGGGCTCCAAAGGTTGCAGGGCCCTGGGGCTCTGTCCTCAGAATCTATCTACACAGGCATAGTACCATGGCTTTACATACTATTCAGGGCACCTCAAGTGATGTGGCTGGCCCCAGCCACTCCCCTGAACTTCAAGTACTATGTCCAACTGCCTACCTGACATCTCTGCTTGGCTGCCTGATAAAAAACTGAAACATAACACATCTAAAACCAAACTCATGGGGGCCGGCCCTGTAGCCTAGTGGTTGAATTTGGCATGTTCTGCTTCAGTGGCCCAGGTTCAGTTCTCGGGTGGGGACCTGCACCACTCTTTGGTGGCCAAGCTGTGGTGGCAACCCACATACAAAATAGAGGAAGATTGGCACAGATATTGGCTCAGGGTGAATCTTTCTCAAGCAAAAAGAGGAAGATTGGAAACAGATGTTAGCTCAGTGACACTTCCCCAGCAAAAAATAAACCCAAAAAAACAACAAAAAAACCCCTCATGGTTTTTCATCACAAACCTGTTCCTCCCAGAATGTTCCAAATCTCAGCAAATAACGTCATCAAAATCCTTGATGTCATCCTTGTCTCCTCTCTTTGTCTCATGTCTCACATCCAATCCATCAGCAAATACTGTTAATTCCATCTGCAAAATATGCTCTCATCTTGGTCTGTGCCCCTACACCTTCACCTGGACAACTTCAGTGGCCTCCCAACCCATCCCTTTGCATCCCCTTTCCCCGGGACTGGCCCGTCCAGCCCAGAGGCTATTTTCCACCTAGCAGTCACATTGCTCCTCCTAAAAGTTACAAGATCTTATCACTTCCTGCTCACAACCTTCCTATGACCTCCCATCACTCTTGGAATAAAATCAAAATGCTTAGCAAGGCTACATGGCCCTACATAATCTGGCCCCTAGCTACCTCTCCAAGGTCCCCTTGGTCACTCACACAAGCCTTCTTACTAGTCCTCAAACACTGACTTGCTGTTTCCTCTGGCTGGAATGCTGGCCGACCAGATGGCTCCCTCCTTCAGTTCACTCACTTTTCTGCTTAAAGATCACCTCCTCTAATGCCAATTCTCAACATCCTCCACCATTCACCATTCTGTAACATTATGTATTCATTTCCTATTGCTGCTGTAACCAATTACCACAAACTTAGTGACTTAAAACAATACAAGTGTATTATCTTACACTCCTGGAGGTCGGAATTCCAAACTCAGTTTCACTAGACTAAAATCAAGGCATCAACAGGCCTGCATTCCACCTGGATGCTCTAGGAGAGCATTCACTTCCTTGCCTTTTCCAGCTTCTAGAGGTTGCCTGTATCTCTTAGCTCATGACCCCTTCTTCCCTCTTTAAAGCCAGCAGTACAGCATTTTCTCTCTGCCTCCATCCTTACATCCTCTGTCTCTGACTCTGATCTTCCCTTTCTCTTATAAGGACCCTTGTGATTACATTGGGCCCACCCAGATAATCCTTAACTACCTCTGCAAATTCCCTCTTGCTGCGGAAGGTAACATATTCACAGGTTCTGGGGATTAGGACACAGACATCTTCAGGCCACCATTGATCTCTCTACCATACTCTGCTTTATTATTCTTTACATCCCTTATTATTACCTCTTATTATATATTTACTTATTTGTTTATTGGCTAGGTTCCCTATTGAATGAGTTAATGTGCTTAGTAACAGTAATGGAATATAAGAAACACTCAATAAATTTTAAGTATGATTAGTGTTAGAATAAAAGTTCCTTGATGGCAGGGAATTCATCTTGTTCTCCATTGTATTCTGAGGATCTAGCACAGTGCCTAGCACACAGTAAGTGCTCCAGAAATATCTGAAAGAATGAATGGACTTCTTTAATTTATCTGTAACAGCGAGGCCAAGCCACCCCAATAGTTTTCCCCCAGTTCCTGAGGCTCAATTGTGCCATATGTGATTCATATATATAATACACTAATGTGTGAAAGTTACTCTCTGAAAATTTTCAGGAAGCTTCCTGAACTTTGCTTTCCCTGCTTGGCTGAAGCTTGGGTGTTTGTTTTCAGAGTGTTAAACACTAAGAGTCCTAGCTTAACAGTCACACGGTTGCTTTATGTTTGGAAGGCATTTGGGTGGGTCTAGAAACACAGTCTCCATCCCCGGTTTTTGAGAAATCCATGCCTGAGCAGAAGACCTTGAAAAACTTTCCGCTGTTGTTAATATTGTTTTCAGGAAGCCATTAAGTATCTGGGCAAATCTCAGGGATGTAGGCCTGATGGGACAGCCTCCTGAAGTCAGAGCCACCTTCTCAGTACCACAGATGAAGCTCATGAAATCACAGCCAACAGAGACATTCAGACCTACTGCATCGAGGACGGGGGACAAGGAAGGCTAATGCCCGAGCTCTGGTCAGTGGGTAATCCTATGTCACTCTCTTTGATCTCCCAAGGTGTCTGCTGGCTTCAAAGTCTGGAGTTTTTGTGACAAATGATTGAGTGCCTCTGTTATCAAATTGTCATCAACATAGTCCTTTTTCAAACTACAGTTTACTTTACAGAATATTTTTTATTAAGGACTGCTTGGTGTAGGTGGAATAAAAACCAAACCCCACCATGACCTATGAGACCCCATGTGATCCAACTCCTGCCAACCTGCTCAAACCCCATCTCCTATCATTTTTCTTGCATTCTTGGCATACTTATGTCCAACCTCACTGGCCTTCTTTCTGTTCCTCAAATAAACCAAGTTCACGCATCATTCAGGGCCTCTCCTGTTGTTGTTTACTCTGCCTGGAACAATTTTCACCACGGCATGGCTTTGCATGGTGCCCAAATCAGCTTATTCAGAGCTTCTCAGAGGGTCTTCCCTAGCCAGTCAGGCAAGTGTTGGCCCCTATTCGGTGTTATTCTCTTCACAACACTTCCTACTTTCTAAAAGTATATAATTGATTTATTTGTTTACTTGTTTCTTGTCTTTCTCCCCTCTTTCATCAGATGGCTACCTCAATGAGAGCAGTGACCTAGTCTGCTTGATTGTGGCTCTGTCTCTTGTGCCTAAAACAGTACTTTTAG